TTTTAAACCCTTCCCACACTCTTGCAATATTCTAAACAATGTTTCTAAACTCTAAAATCTCTAAAAGAGCACAGAATGTCATGATTTCAGCTTCCTGCCTCCTCTTTTCTTTGCCACCTGCAAGCGCTCTTGGCCACGCCCACTTCTCCGTTCTGCACGGTGAATAGCTGATCAGGTGCTGCAGGAAGTTTATCCTGCAGTGTGGGCTGCACAAAGGTGCAGCAGGTGCTAAATAATTTTGAATAATTTACCTTAAATAAAAATTCCATGCCGATCGTGCGGCTCATCCATCAATCAGCCAGTCGTGTGTCATGTCCAATCTTATTTTGAAAAACTGCAACAGAGCAAGTCCGCGAAGTACCAAGGGACTACTGTTTTCTTTAACTTATATATTTACTTTTTTACCTTTTACTTAGAGACTTTTTAAATAAATTTGTAACTTTATATAGTTTAAATTTAGATCTTAATGTATCTGTTTCCTGTTTTAAATTAATCTTTCTTTCTGCTGTAATGATTCGTGTTATTTCTAGCAGCACCCTGAAAGAACAACAGTATATGATACATTATACGCCAGTCAACAAACTAATATACAGAAAGCTATAGCTATGGACTGACAAGCAAAGGCCTCATTTAAACTTTGATTCGTGACCTTGACCTTGGAGCTGGGGTGATGAAAAGTGCATATGACTGTCTAGTAAAGTAGTAAAGTCTAGTAAATCCTACTGAGTGGAGCAGACATGACGGGCCTTTTGAGAAAGTTGTAGAGTACACTATATCATCATAATACGTCCAGCCTTCAAAGGGTATAATAAAAACTGTTCATACCCAGTAAGGGGTTTCTGTGTGAGCTGACAAAAAGTGTTTTAGTCCTTCTGCTGCTAACTAACTAAATATCTAAAAGCATTATGAATAGAAAACATTAACAGATGAAATACACGTACTCTCGATGATGTCGCCCAGTCCCTGAGCATACAGGAGGTCTTTGAGTCGGGACACTTCCTCTTTCAGCTCCCGCACCAATCGATTGTTGGGATCCTCGTTGATCACAGCGTTACAGCGGATCTGTTTGGCACGGTCAGCATACCTGGGGACATGAAGGCAAAAATAACAACAAGAGAAGGAGGAAAGGTCCAGACACACACACCTGCAGAATTCCCCTGACGTCCATGATGCTGCAGCTTAAAACTGCTGCAGCCCATAGAGTGTTTGCAGTGTGAAGCTGATGCAAATCTCCATGGAAACCCAGCAATACACACGAGTGTGTCACTGAAAATAGTGCCCTTTAAAGTCACATTCTGAATCAGTGTAGGAAGATGGATGTGCTGCAGAACCGGAGCTCTGTGCTCTACCTGAGCGTGCTGAGCGTCTCGTCGTAGTTGATGTCAGCTGGACTCAGGGCAGCAACCATCGCAGTCCGAGAATTCCCACCTGACACAGATCACAGAAAATATAAATCACATTGTGTTGGATTCAGATGTAGACAAACGACGAGTCATTTTACTAAATAATAAAGACCTTACCCAAATTCTCTCTAAGAAGCCAAGTTAAAACTGAATCTCTGTATGGAATGAAGCTTTCCACTTTCTTCTTCTTTTTATTCTGAGTATGAATAAAGACAAATTTAAATACATCAAATTGTACATTTACCTTGGATGATTACCACTTAAAAATCATTCAGTGTGGATGGGCTTTGTATGGTCTTCACAAGGTCTGTTGGCACTTTACTGCCTCTCACCGTGTGACAGAGAATGACAGGTCATACAGAGCGACTGTAGAGAGGTCATTGTGGTTTATTATTGTGTTGCCAAGTCCTAGGTGAAGTGCAATGACAGCGTATCCATGACATGGAGCCCATCATTGCCTTCACACTGAAGGAGGTTCTCCAAATTTGCTGCAATCCAGTCATGTTCTAACAGGTTGTGTAGTAAGGAGAGTGTAGCAGGGTCTTAAAATAAGACTTATTTAAATGAAAATGAAATTAATCAATTACCTTATTTTGGCCAGAATCCTAAAATGAAGATAACAGCAAAAGAACTTGTTTAGTCTCAATTTAAAACCCATCTTGTCCCAGAAAGCATCAAAAACAGATATAATAGTACACACCACTTCTGCCAGAGCAGAGATGACCTTCCCCAGGGTGGTCAGAGATTTATTAATGTTTGCTCCTTCCTGTAAAAAAAAACAAAAACACAAACACACTAATTAACAGCTTTAACAAATACACTAAAACAAGTATCTGTTCTTAGATTTGCTCCTTGAGCTTTTAAAAGGCATTTTCTTACCTTAAGCCTGGTTCCTTTGGCTCCAGTAGAATCTGCCCTCTCACTGCCGGCCAGATCCACCAAACTTATTTTACTGACCTACAAAAGCATCCCAAAAATACTGAAATAAACTAAACCCAACATATGATCCGCCAACTAAAAACATCTACAGTAAGAAATAGAGTCCTTCACCGATATGTTGATATATCAATATATCAATATATCAGTAGGGCCTATAATTTAGGTTGATACAGGCATTTGGGGACATATCGCTATCTGCGATAATTGTCCCATGATGCACCGATATAAGCACTTCTAATTTTCACCCCTAAAATGCTGTGAACAGCCGTAATTGTACAATGTATCCAGCAGAGGACATATGAAGACTACTTTCAAGTCATGGCGGTTCACTTAACTTTCACTTTCAGCACAGCCGAAGCGGGGAGCAATACTGTGTAGTGCATGTTACTGAACAGAGAGCATTGTAAGTTTATTTTAACTGATCTGTAAAATAAATCAACACTACATTTTTTTCAGTCCTCCAACCCACTTGTCATTAGATACGTACCCATCAAGTTAGCAAGCTAACATTTAGATAACCTAGTATGGGCTATTGACTTGTAAAACCTTATCCAGAACAATAAATCTAATGTAGCGGTAAAATATATCAGTGTTAGTAACGTTATCTTTGTCATCCTTAATGAAATACATTGTTTGTCTGAAATCTTTACTTCTCTGCAAAGAAAAATAAGCTCTGCTGCAGTCAATACTAATTAGACATTCACCATACGTAACTGACAGTTTAGACAATGAACAGGGAAGGGCTTGTCTTTGTTTAACTTACATTTTTGTTACACACTTGATAACTTTATGGTGAATAGTGGAGGATAGAAAATGTGAACGCACGTTAGGAAGACCAGTGCACCACTTGCAAACCTGCTGTGGGACTATGTATAGGTGGATCTGAATAGCTTTGCTTCATGGTTGCTAAAAGCTGCGCTAAATAAACAAGCTCCACTCCATTTGCTGTTTTCTTAGATTCTTGGATGTGGACAAAGCTAAAAAAAAAGGTCAGCCATTATATCAGTTGCCAGCGGTTGACTTCCCCTCCCAATAGTGGTTTCAGTGATAGCCAAAATTTCCATATGGTCGGGCTCTATTAAGAAACACTTCCACATCCTAACGTTATCGTTTTAACCTTCAAGCTGTCATTGATTTCCACTTAAGGTTGAAATTTATTTCAGAGTCATCAGTCTAAGTTTAGATAAGCAGAACCAGCAGCTAAATGAATCGTTGCCATCCGGAGGTGATAAAAATCTGCTACCTTTTCAGATGTGTTGTCCGTCTCTGCATCGTAGCGTTTCTGAGTAAAGATGATGTTGAAGACTGCATGCGAGCGGCTGCTCGTCTCGTTCATGTTGGTGGCAGCCACCGTCCTGTGCAGAGGAAGCACAGTTGAAAATGTTTCTGCATCAGATTAACACGAGGAGCTATTTTAGGTCTAAAACTGCTTGTTTCCTGAACACACCAGGTTTATAACATTATCGTGAACCAGCTTAAGTATAAATTTCTACATAAATAATGAAAAATGTCTACCAGTGTCACTGCGAAATAAATATATATAAAACCTAATATATACATTATATCAACCAATCATCAAACTTTATTTATAAAGCAGCTTTTATCCCAGATTTAAACAGACATGGTGCCATGGACACAGATCAACTGTTTTTGTGCTAAAATAATTTCACTACAGAATTAAGAAAAGGACATGCATAAGAATTTATTTTCACAAAATTATATTGAGAGTTCATCGTCATAAATATGCAGTTTGTGTTTTTTTTGCCATCCAGTGTGTGTATATACTGTGATAGCTCATTCCAGAGGTTAATATAACAGTAAATATAAGAAACTTTAATCTTCAAAAATATGCCCTTCTTGGAATTAATAAAGGATTAAATTGTGTTTACTTTTGGTAAACTGTATAACTTTTATTTTGTTACAGTTCTTCCTTGTCTTAAACTTTTATCGGCACATAGATATGTAAATAAATATGTAGCTGGAAATACAATAAAATATATTTTTAAATATTTCATATTTGGCTTGTCCAGAGGCATTGATTAGTGTCAAAGGTGCGACTGAAGTTTAAATAGCTGGCCATAAATAAATTAAAAGTGGTTACTTAAACAAAAACGAACCTCTAAACATAACCAGCGGTATGCCAATATCCCCCATCCATGAGCTGTTCGAACAGAAAATGTTGGTAGTTTTCAGGTGTTTCTGGACTGGAATTAAACAGGGAATGCAAGTAAACCTTAATGTTTTTATTGTGAGATATTCAAGTGAGAAGGAGTTACACTGTGTAACTGTTTTTTTTATTTTTTTATCTTTGTATTTTGTTTCTTGCCTGAAACAGCAGAGTAATCCTAGCCAATGGAAAGATAAATTTTATTCACTACCAGATGCAGTGGCAAAGCCAGAGGCTAGCCAATGGTGGCCTTGGCCATCTTCGGCCACCCCGCGGGCCACCCCAATCATTTGAGAAGCAGCTACACATCAAAATGGAAACCAGAGATGTGTTGCTTATTATCCAGCTCTCAAGACTGATGGGCAGACATATATGGTGGCAGCCATCTTGGATTTTGACGTGGCAACACAATTTGTATAGGGAACATTTTTATGCCTAAATTTTTATACCTCACATATTTATTTTTCCAAGTTATTCTGCTCACAACACACAAACATCTATGGCAGCAGCCATCTTGGATTTTAACATGGTAATCTAATATTCACTGTGATTTTCCTTACTCCTAGAAGCAACTACATCCCAAATCGGAAGGCGGGATGTTACTTGTTCTTCAAGTTATCCAGCTTGTAAGACGGACAGATGGAAGAACATGTATGGTGGCAGCCATCTTGTATTTTGATGTGGAAATTAAATTTTGATAGGGTCCTTGTCACGTCTAGATGCAGCCGCACCAAAATGGACGTCGACACGTTGTTTATTTTCAGGTTATCATGCTCACAACATGGATGGACTCTTATGGTGGCAGCCATCTTGGATTCTGACATGGCAACCCAATTTCCAAAAGGTTTCTTTTCCACACCTAGATGTAGCCACACACCAAAACAGAAGCTGGTACTTCACTTGTTTTTTAAGTTGTGCTCACAATATGCAAGAATGAAGGGATGAACAGACAAACGGATGAATGGAGGGTATTTCCATCTCGCCCTCTTGGCTCCACGACAAACTGTCTCAAGTCATTAAAATAGTCTCTTAACATTGTAACTCCCATGTTGGATGTCCCTCCCACACAACAAGAACACTGTATAAAATCACCTGGCCTTGTTGCCAGAGTCCATCAGGTCTTGGATGTCATTGTAAGAGGTGACGGCCAGCTTGGACAGGTCCTCCACGTAGGGCCCCATCAGAGGATGCTCCCTCACACGCAGGTTGCCTTTGTTTTTAGGGTTTAGCAAGTCTCGCACTCGTTCACAGTAGATCTCCATGTAGCTGACCTGCTCAAACGCAGAGTTAAAATTTATTTATGAAGGGCTGACTTTAAATCTGTAAACCGACTGGGTGCAGTCTCACCTCCACAGAGTAAGACATGCTGTTGTCTGTGTTATCGCTGATCTTTGTGAAAAGATCTTCACAAAGCTGGAAGGAGGAACAAAACATCACTTGGTTAAGAGACTTTTTTCCTTTTGGTTATTACCTGAACTCGTTGTTTTACTCTACCAGTGGAATGATTCCCTGCTGGTCCTTCACATCCTGCTTGCCCATCATCGTGTAGGACTTTCCAGCACCCGTCTGACCGTACGCAAAAATGCAGACGTTGTAGCCTTCGAACGCGTGAAGCAACATCTCCTCTCCAATGTCTTTGTACACACGCACCTGCGAGGCATAATTGACGTCCTCGGGCTGTGGACAGAGAACAGAGGAGGCTTCTAAACCTGGGAAACATACAAACAGCACACTGGTGGAAATGTGTGGGGCTGCAGTTACCGATGTGTGCGACCAGTAGGAGTAATCAAAGTTGAAGCTCTTGTTATCTTTGGCCTGCTTGGGGTTGATGATGGCTGAAAGACAGGAGGAGGACAGGTCAGAGGGAGGGGGCAGAGACACGAACATGAAACAGGAGCTGGCTCAGTCAAGCTGCAGGGAAGGACTGAGTCATCAGCTGCAGAAGTTACCTTTAGAAAAAGTTACCTTTAGAAGAAGTTACCTTTAGAAGAAGTTACCTTTAGAA